TTGGTACTTGCCATGTAATTGCAAAGATATTTCAGCCGGGGCAAATCGGTTTAACATTGAAACCGAGTTGAAACGTTTTCGTGACTATCCCTTAATCTCCGGGAATTTTTGGACGGAAGGGTCCTTGCATGAAACGCAGCAGGAGAATCTATTTTAATGACATATTCATGTATTTCGTTGCGACAGTCATACTAAGAAGATACTTCACCTGTCAGCAGCCCAGCAGCCAGCAGATACTTGAAGATACGAAGCACCAAACCAGCCGTTAACTCCCAGTATATAACTTACCGTACAGTTTTACGCCAACTATGCTACTCGTATGCTGAATTGGAAAAAAAACTTGGACCTACCGAATGAGAATTTCCAGAACAAAGAAATCTGCCATTAATTCGTAGTGAATTAATAATAAGCAATAAACGTCTGTTGACCCTTTATAGATTAATTACATATGTTTCTATATTAATTGCATTAACAATATTTTCGTATGATTTTTTCAGCCAGTTAAAACTACAACAGCTGAACAATTTATATATTGAAAATAATATCAGTCGTGAAAAATCTACAAATATACATCTAGCGAACAGTGCGCTGTGCAAGCCTTGGAATGGATTTTGCGACAATTGTCGCTGTTGGAAATTGTAGATATTAATATGCGAACCGACTGCATGCACGTGGTTTACGTTTCACTTCACTAAAACACAGAATGATTTGAACCAAAGTACAATTCTTTCGCATTTGCCATATAATTGTGACGTCACGGCTGGATACTATGTCCTTTCGAGATTTTTGGATGTAACACTTGCCTCGCGTTCGTGTTTAACATTTCACTCGCTTTCGTGTATGTGGCATTTGCTTCTGTTTCGTGCTGTATCTTAATTTCCATGTGCTTTCCATATTTTGAAGACAGAAGCAGACTTTGGGTGTTGTTTTGGATTTTTCTGGCGGTTTATTGTACGGTAATTTACGGCGGTTTATTGTACGTTTAAGTGGACTTGTGTTATTCGTATTACCTTTATTAGTGTTACATACGTATGATTAACTAAACATACTTATCAAAGCATCAAAAATTCGCCTTGCGATGTAGTATCTATAGAGAAGCAGAGCGAAGTTTTACTGACGGATTCAGCTGCGTTTTTCCTGAACGTCTTTTTTCATGGTTGATTACCAAGAATGACATGTGCTTGTGGTATCAATGAAACTTCTGATAGCTTGATAAATAAGTTTGTTGGAACCTTTGTGAGAAAGTATTCGTGTAAGTTATGTGGTGGTACGTTTCAACAAATAACAACATCAATTTCCCCCGGAATGTTTTAGTAATAAGTTCGCTTCAATATAGGTCGAGTGCCATACGACCGTGGAAGTTTACCTGGTGGCTGCTTTTTTGCATCCTCAGGACATGGTCTTAATAAAAATCCTAATTACCATCATGATACTCGTAGTGCAGGCATTACACATTTAATGCATAATCTTCAGTTTTATATTGTAAGTCTTGCAAATATTTCATGGACCGGAAAAATCTTCCGAATGACATTATTCTTCTAACAATAGATATTAGATCTCTGTACACTAACATCCCGCATGATGAAGGTATCGACGCATCAATTGAATACCTTCAAAGATTTAATAGCGAAGCTAACACTGATTATCTATAGGAAATACTAACACTTGTACTTCATAACAATTAGTTTGAATACGATAATAAATATTATCTCCAGACCCAATGTACTACTATGAGTTCTCCAATGACGCCCTCATGTGCCAATCTTTTCATGGGTCAATTAGAACACAACATGCTAAGGGATGCCCCTGGTGGATTGATTCCACTTGAGGGGATAAGATTTATCAATGACATTTTGTAATATGGACACATGGAATTGACAAACTAGAGGAGTTCCTACACCATATTAACAAATTCCATCCCACTATTAAATTCGAAATTGAGTACTCCTATGAAAGAGTTCATTTTCTTGATACTAATATTTACATTAACAACCTTAAACAACTGGAATCTGACCTTCTTATCAAACCTACAGTTAAAGCTCTACTGTTACACAATGAATCCTTTCACCATAATAACTGCAAAATTAGTATTATATATAGCCAAGCCCTTACTGTAGATACGTACGGCTAATTACTAACCGTAACAGATTGAGTGAACGCCTTCAAGACCTACGTGTTAATTTAATTACTAGAAAATACATGCATGCAGAACCGTCGCCTTGTTGACAAAACCATCGTATTTTCCGAACATAAATTTTCCAAAGTTGTTGTCATGGTAAAACGATAATTTTTAAAGAATATTCTTACAAATGAAAAATCGCCCAAAAATATCACTTTCAATTTCAAAATTAACAATTTCGCATCATATATATGTCAGATATGTTATTGTATGTAATATAAGCTTCAATTTAAGGAAAATTCAGCCACAAAAGCTTCGCTAAACGTTTAAAATGTTCTTTATAAAACTAAACTGCCTTTTATAATTAAATGGCTTTAATAAACGTCTTTGTCTTTGAGTTTGCATTAAAATGATTTCAAATTCTCGCATGCAAATAACTTTGCTTTCTTTTTTATTTAAAAAATTTAATGTAATAAAAAAGGGAATCAATATTAATAATACACTGAAATTATATGCTGTCATGTTTAGTTGTTTCATATACGCAAAGGGCCAAAGGCCGTCGGGTTTTAAAGCAATGCAGTATAGTAGTAGGGAATGGCGGGTTCTGGCTCAGTAGGATATTTAGGGATAATAAGGGATAATTTTGGTCCACTAGGATAGTTATTGATGATAATGGATAATTTTAGACAAGACTAATTAACCACCACTGCGCGCCACCTACGCGCATCTGATGACGTCACTTCCCGTTTACCACAATCATGCTTGCCCAGACTTGTCCAAAAACTATGACGTCACCACCACGTAACCTATGACGTCACCACCACGTGACCTATGACATCACCACTCCTTCACTACACATCCACAAAACCTCCACCACGCATGCGCAAACCCCGCCACCCCCCGCCTTGAAAAGTATTACCGAAGTTTCCCCAAAGTCTTACCGAAGTCTTACCGAAGTCTTACCGAAGTATTGCCTAAGTCTCCCCAAAGCCTCCCCAAAGCCTCCCCAAAGCCTCCCCAAAGTCGCCCACAGCGCAGATTTGAATCACGTGACCTATGACGTCACTTCCAGTTGAAAAATGCTGAGTCAGCTGTTTTTGTTTTTGTTTTGTATATAATAGAAAGGATCCTATTTTTTCAGTTCCCAAGTCCGGTCATAAGTCCTGGAACAGGTTGTCATTCCTATTTTTAAACCCTTTGGGTTTGAAAAAAAGCTGAATCAGCATTTCTGATTTTTTTTATTTGTATATAATAAAAGGAATGACAAACGAAAGGACACCGGGAATTACCGAAAGGCTGAAGGGATGGTACAACTGGCTAACCACCCACGTACCATCACCCATCATGAAAGGCGTGTCCGACGCATTTAACACCACGAGGAAGAAGGTTGTAAGTCTATACAACGGCAAAGAGGAGGAAGACCAGTGGTATGACGCAAGGGAGAACTTCAGCAACGAGGACGAACAGTGGTACGTCGTCAATCCGGAATAGGACCTAAAACCCATCCTAACCTACCACGGTATTAAAAAGAAGGTAATTATAAAGAAGTATGTCATCAATCCCAAGGGTGCGTACGACCCAGTTCACTTCCTGAATATCACAAAGGATGAGGTTGAGGCGCTCATAAATTCCGACACGAAACCGAGGAACATAAACATGTCCTTAATATGTGAAATGGTAAGGAACGATCCGGAGACTGAGGAGGAAGTATCCGTTGTTGCCCACTTCAGGTCAAAAGCCCACGAACTCATCGGTACAGCTAATTACACATAATTAAGAGTCTTTTAACATCATGAAAGAAAAAGTGCGAAAATCTTTTCAGAATACCAAAAGCGTGGTAGTGGGTGGAAGCTTCGGAGGGTGGATCTGCTCGAAGTTCACATCGGTGAATGCCAACCGCTGAAGGGAATGGGTCATATCCCAGCGGGCAAAATGACGTTTATCCAACGTTGAATCAACGTTGGAAATGACCTTCCAGACGTTGGATAGACGTTGAAAAAGGGTTGACTATGCAAATTGGATCGACGTTACTGTTTCGACGTTGAAACAACGTTGAAATTAGGCTGCCAATCTCGTCAACCATAATTCAACGTTGAATCCACGTTAAAACAACGTTGAGATTGGTTCAAAAATCGACGTCGTACATTTAACCATGAATGAACGTTAATTCAACGTCTGTTGGCTGCTGTTGAACCAATGTTTGTAAAACAACGTCAGAGCAACGTAGATATTAGGTTGTCGACGTCACAACCTTTTTTCCACCAAATTTCAACGTTGAAACAACGTCGTGTGCCCGGTGAGATGCCACTACCTCGAGAAAAAGAAAGCGATCATCAACATGAAGAACGACGACGATGAATGCTTCAAGTGGGCTGTAACCCGCGCACTAAACCCGGTAGAATACAACCCTGCAAGAATTACAGGGATTCTCAGAGAACAGTCAGAAAAACTAGACTGCGAAGGAACCGAGTTCCCAACACCCTTAAACAATATCAAAAAGTTTGAAAAGAACAACAATATCGGTGTTAACGTGTTGGGGCTTGACGGATGTTATAAGGTATGTCCCTTACGAATATCCGGTAATACCGATTCCATAAACCTTTTCCTGTGGAAGAACCACTATAGGGTTTTCAAGGATATGTCAAGACTTGTAAGCTCACAGATCAACGAAAAAAAGAACAAAAAACATATTTGCAACCGTTGCCTTAACGCATTCAGATCGAGCGTACTCTTGAAAAGACATCTGGAGTTATGTTTGAACAATAACTATCAGAGGCATGAGTATCCAGAACCCGGTACTACTACCGAGTTTAAAAATTATGAAAGAACACAAACCGTTCCGTTTGTCATCTATGCGGACTTCGAATGCTGCACCGAAGGGATGGACGCGGTTGAGAAAAACCCGAACAGATCAAGTACCACTCAATACCAAATGCACTGCCGTAGTGGATTCTGTTACTACGTCAAGTGTTTCAACAATTCCATTTACAAACTTCTTCTAGCAGATGTGGTGGAAAACTTCAGAAAGGTTTGTAAGACCAACTACGGGCTGGATCCTATGTGGTACTATACAGCACCCGGGCTGGCATGGGGCGCTGCGCTGAAGTTAACCGGTGTGGAGCTGGATCTTCTCTCCGATCAGGATAATTACCTATTTATCGAAAAGGGTATTCGTGGTGGGATCAGCACCATTACCAAAAGGTATGCCAAGGCAGATAATAAGTATATTAGACCTCCTAAGGACCTAACTGGGCTGGAAAGGTTTAAAAAGTGGATAGTGAAAAGGTTTCCGGTCTACCAGCCGTGATCATATGTATGATCAACATGATTATCACAATCATTACCGGTACAAAACTGGTGGTTGGTCGCGAAACTGGTGGTTGGTCGCGATGATGAAGAGCGGTCTACATACAATCCCTATATGGACGCGAACAACCTATACGGACGGGCAATGAGTCAACCCCTACCCATTAGAGACTTCAAATGGATGAATGATGAAGAACTGAAGAAGTGGACAGACTACAGCTGCATCCTCGAAGTGTATCTGGAATACCCCGACGAACTACACTACAGACATAATGAATACACCTTTGCACCCGAAAGAATAATGGTTACTAAGGTGGAAAAGCTAATTCAGAATCTTAACAGTAAGCAAAAATACGTCCTTAACCATAAGAACCTAGAACAATATTTAAGCCTAGGGTTAAAACTCCCCAAGATCCACCGCGAAGTGAAATTCTACGAAAAATCTTGGATAAAGGAGTATATCCAGCTCAACACGGACCTGCGTACCAAAGGTACTACAGACTTTGAAAAGGACTTATTTAAGCTTATGAACAACTCGGTATTTCGAAAGACGATGGATAACGTCAGGAATAGGGTTGACATCAGACTTGACAATGACGAGAATAAGTGGAACAAGCTGGCCCAAAAGCACAACTTTAAATCTGATACCATCTTCTCCGAAAACCTTGTAGCAGTTCACATGAGGAAGACATCCGTAAAACTGAATAAACCTATCTACTTAGGGATGAGCATCTTTGACATCAGTAAGACCCTCATGTACGACTTCCACTACAATTACATTAAACCAAAGTCTGGGGATGATGTCAAGCTCCTATTCACGGACACAGACTCCCTATGTTATGAAATCCACACCGAAGATTTCTTCAAGGATATATCGAACTATGTCCACGAAAGATTCGACACCAGCAATCTAGGTAATCCCAACAGGTGTAAACAAGAAGGTTATCGGGATGATGAAGCTGGAAACGGGTGCAAAACAAATTGAAGAGTTTGTGGGATTAAGGTCAAAGCTATATGCTTACAAAATGGTGGAAGATGATGATGAGGAGAAAAAGTGTAAGGGAGTAAAAAAAGTAGTCTTCAAAAAAGAAACAACATTCGAAAATCATAAAGAATGTCTCTTCAGTGGTGAGAAGCAGTGGAGGGGAATGAATGTCTTCAGAAGTATGCTACAAGAAATATTTACGGAAAGGGTTGTTAAGGTAGCTCTATCAGCAAACGATGACAAGAAGATAATTATGGACGATGGAATCAACACGCTAGCAATCGGACACAAAAGCCTAAGGCGGTAGAAACCCAAACGAACCAATTTTAATATTCGAAGGAACATTAAAATTTTAACGGATCTACAGTAATTTTGTAATTATGAATCCAGACCCCAGTCCCAATATTCCAATCTGATCTGCTGATATTCTTCCATTTCGCTTGATGGTTTGTAGTAATCGTGAATTGTTGGTTGTTTATCCAGTGTTAGTTCCTCCTGCACTTTCCGCAAGGAGTCCAGAGCACGGTTTGTCGTTTCCATATCCGATTTGGCGTCGACTAGTTCCTGCCTGAGTATTGGAATTCTGTTCTTTTTTTCCACTTGACTTTCGTACCATTTTTCTTTAGCTTTCGCTAATTTATCCAACGCTGTGTTATGTCTTTTCATTTCGTCCTCGTATCCACTGTGGTTTAATTTGCTGAACAGGAATCCAGCTCCTGCAATTGCTACGGCATTGAATAGTCCTCCGACTACAACACTTGTCATCTTCTTTTATTATAGTGTTTTATTTGAATGGATCATCAGGTACTAGTTTTTTGAATTGTAGGTAGTGAACTTCAACCGCACCAACTCCAAGGGCTAGGGCAAGTTTTAGAATTCCTTTCGGACTGCTAGGTACTCCAAGACTATCACCTGCAAATTTTGCTTACCACGGACACAGCAACTGCTCCGAGTGTAATAAGTCCGGCGTCGAAGGCTTCGTTCATAAAGTCCTTTCTATGTCCCATGCTTTATTATATAGTATCTATTTTTTTTAGTCTTCTTCCTCGAATTCATAGGTCATCTGATGGTTGTGTGGTTTTTTGGATTTGTGCATAAAGGCATTTGTTGTCATGTTGTCTATGAGGTGATATCCGAATTCTATAACTCCCAGCAACCCCAGGACTTGCCTCGAGGTGAAACCGCTGTTTACCGCATTTGCAGCTATTGCTCTGAGTACAATGAATTCGTTTGTGTTTCTCCTTTATTATATAGTGTTTATTTTTTTCTTCTGCACTCGTTGTACAAGAAGTAGGTTAATGCCAGAGCTAGAATCCAAAGATTCTTCGCCAGGAACGCAATGCCCTTTGCTCCCCATAACAGAACCTTAGCGACGAGGTTTAGTACGAATGCTAGTATGGGTCCAATCTTTCCGGCTAGATTTGCCATTGCTTTTGCGAACTTGCTCGTTGCTCTCGCTCCCGTTTTCGCTACGCTTCTAGCCCCCATAATAATCGTGGTGATGATACCCGCCACAGATATTGCTACCGCTGATATTCCTGATATACGGCTGACTATATTTTCTTTTGCCCATTTCTTAAATCTTTCGAACCTTGTAAGATCGTTTATTTCTACCTCCTCTTTGGTCGTTCGTTTGATCTCAACCTTATTTCATCCGCTTTCAATTCTGCCATGTCTGTCATTGCATCTTTCCAGTGATTTGTTTCTACTTCAAGATTCTCAATTTCTTGCTTACCTGAGTTTCCATTTACGTGTTCGATGTTGTGTCCCATTTCTCGTCAGGTTTGATGTGTTTTGGTTGAAGCAACATTGATTGGGGTGGGGGGAGTGGGAGAGGAGCGGTATTGTGTGTAAAAAACTGTAATGACCCACTCACAATCTAAAACTACATGTCCCAACAACTTCTGAAAGAGATTGTCTGGGCCCCATATGCCATAACACCATTGTATATCTCAAAAGTACAGGAGATAGAATGCTCTGCGAACGAAGTATTTCTGCTCCATTTCGTTCAAAGAAGATCTAATATAACATTTTAAAACAATTAAGTTCCATTAAAATTCTCAAAGTTAACAATTAACAGGATATGAATATAACTTGTTATGTCATATAGCATTTTTAATCGTTGTTTGTTTTTGCAAATTTCGGCAGAGCACAAGTGGGTTATTTGAGAGGTTATATAATCCGTCAATATAAATGTAGGTATCGCGAATGTTTTACGCTATATATGTCACACTTACTGTTAATTTATAGCATAGTAATATAACATCCGGTTACTTTCGCATGCGGGTAATGGATGAGTCAACTGCTGATTCGGGTACTCCGAATGCAAACAACGTTTGCTTTATAATCACTTATGGTCAATGTGACATTTCACATCTTTCTAGAGCACAATTTGCAGATATAATTGTCGACGTATGGGTAGGAAGGAGCACTAAGTAGGTGGGAATGTCGGAGGCTCATGGAATGGGCGGTAGTCACTTCCACACGGCAAAAAAAATTGTCCACAAGATCGAGGTGGCGAGCTATCGGATAGCTCGAGAAGAGTAAATGTGGCATTTAATTGAACCTTTCCCGCAGACAATCTCAAAAATTACAATTCAGCGTATTCGTACGTGGTAAGGGAAGACCCGGACATGGTGATTTCTCCAGGGATTATAGACCTCCCCAATGCTGACGCGTTAGCGAGTACAAGCGCGACCCGCCGAAGAAAGAAAGTTGCACAGGCTTCCAAAACTTATATAACGAAAGGGACTCGCAGTATACGGCGTTGTACGCATTATACAACACTGATGTTACTGTTATACGCTAATTATGCTAATAAGCGTTTCCGGACGAGACGAATGCAATGAAACTAACATCGGTTGACACTTCGATTGTCACGATAGAAATAAGAAATAACAGGCAACTAGACATCTTTTAAAACAGAACAAGGCTAAGAATAATCTGTTGAGAATGTCTAACAATGTATTTGCTATTAATGAAAGGGTTTGAAATTGATTAAACCAAGTATTGTATCGATTGACACATTTTTAAATAAATAAATCTGATATATCATAGTGCTATTTCTAGAGTGTCAATCGATACATTTTATACACTATGATTTATTTACTTTGTGATTAAGTGGAACCCGTAATATATCAATAAGCGCTCCCTAAATACGTTTGCTTAGTACTTAATGTTCTGATAATGATTATGCCGCGACAATTGAAAGTTATATCAATGAAAATGCTGTGTGTTTCAAAGTGACAACCGAGCACGTGCTCAAGCCGTTTTATATTACATACATGTTTTCATGTCAAATATCCACAATCTTTAAATGGTGTTCGATAACTTACCTTTGCATTTTATTTAGCATTAACCTAGGTCGATAATTGACCAGATAGATGTGTTTTCTCCCTTGCATATAGACCAGGTTTAATCGCCCGGCATACTACGCTCCCCACACTCACATCTTTCAGTATAAGCTCATTTATATTACAATGCTGGATTGTGTTACATTTCAAAGATATTGACCACATCCGAAGCACCGTAAGGACGTTACATATGCCAATACATTTCAGTAAACATGTTATACTAAGTGCTATTATGATTTTCGCGAAACTGATATTCTAAAATACTCGGTAATTCAAAGAGGTTAAATATGGCTTTCATTGCCTTTCAGACAATCAGTTTCAAAAGTCTTGGGACAGATGCCACAAAATCTTTGAATTTCAACAAAACTTCAATCTCCCCGCCCCCTGTTCAATGTTGTGTCCCATTTCTCGTCAGGTTTGATGTGTTTTCGTTGGAGCAACATTGATTGGGTGGGGGGAGGGGGAGGGGAGCGGCATTGTGTGTAAAAAAACTGTAATGATCTACTTACAATCCAAAACTGCATGTGTTCCAACAACTTCTGAAAGCGATTGTAGCTGCTCTCGGTTTTAATGATTGCGTCAAGATGAAATCTCTCGTCCTGGTAACTTTTTGCGGTCTACAGGATCGTCCCTTTCGGAGGGTAGGTCTCCGTTTCGTCGTCGATCTTTACGTATAGGGTCGGAGTGCTGCCTTTCCGGTGAAGACATTTCATGTTTTCACCCGGCTTACCAACGTGACGGGCAACCTCGTTCCTAGGCTCTTACCTTCGCACGCCCCAAGCTGCGGAAAGACCCTGGTGCCGCCTGGTCACGTGGCTCCCAGATTTTGGGTGCTAAAATAAATTGCTATTCAGGGAGGGGTGGTAGAAATTATTTGTACCTGTTGAAATTGTTTCTGAATTTGTAAAATAGTAAAATTCTAACTGTACGAGACAATAATAAAAGATTTTTTCTTGACGAAATGTTAAAACAACAGATTAATCATGTGTTGCAGCCGAAAGAGAATCATATTACTCTCAAGGATTACAAATATCTCATATTTCACTGTCACTATATCGGCTTAGCAAAAGCACGCCAAAGAAATTTAACAAAAAGATCCCCTGGATCAACTGAAAATAGTTCTCGTTGTTGATTATATAATGGTGTACAAGATCAGATACATTGTAAGAATCTCTTCAACAAAACAAATTAAAGAATTTTGAATAACACGGAGTTGATTCATGGCGAGAGACTGCCACATGTTGATGATTTTCCTTATTTGATCTGCCGATCGAGTGCCGTCCTTGCGAACGACGTTCAAGAATGTAATTTCCGAAACACAGAAATCATTAGTAAAAGATCCACGATCCAAGCGATGCCCTCATAGGCGTACGGGAAGGAAAAAATTAGGGGGCAGAAAGAAATTTGCCCGACTTTTTTCGGATTTGCCCGACCAGTACCGAAAATTTTTTTTCTGGGACAATTAATTTTGACGACCTTCCCCCGCCACACCCCCGTCGCCAAAAAAATTTCGGTCAGTGTACCATTTTAGGGGTCCAAAAATTTTTCGGACACTCCCAAATTTTTCGGAACACCAAACAAATTTTACCAAATATAAAAAATTCACATAATTTCCTCAAAATTGACAGAGTTTGTCCCATATATTTTTATAATAACCCAATATTGCCCGACTGTGAAGCGAATATTGCCCAACCGGGTTTGTTTGGAAAACAAACTGGGGTTATTATTAAGAGAGATTTTACTACTTTGATTACTTTTTGCCAGACTTTTGCCCGACTTTTGTTGAACATTTGCCCGACTTTTAGACTTTGTAATCTTTTTTTGGGGGGGGGGAGGGGGGCAGCTGCCCCCCTGCCCCCCGTCCCGTACGCCTATGGATGCCCTGAAGTTTTTCTATCCGTTGCCAGATTTCGGCAAATGTTGCTGCAGTTGAAAGTCGAAGGCGCAGTTTGGCTTTTACACTGACTTTGTCAATGTGTCCTCCTCGAGTGATGAAACTAGATCTACTACACCTTTACCCATTTCAATAGAAGTAAGTCAATTGTTTATGAATATCATTCACCAATATACTTTACCGCAATTAATAATATAGTCATCCGTATACGTATGTTAGTAATCCCCATTTAAACCCCAAATGTACAATCCAATTGTGATTTCTCCATGGAATATTTTTAGCGAATATTTATAGAATGGCAGACGCGCGATTTGATTTCAGTCGAGATATTTGATCTTGTATCAGTGAATTCAAGGGAGACACAACTATAACAATACACGAACCGCCCTTAGTAGATATCTCAAATGATTTCCATGGAGAAAGAAAATCGACTTGTTTATTAAATATGATCCCTTGCAAACATCAACAATGGGTCAGATGAAAATCAGAGACTTTCCATATAAAGCGTTGGCAGGATA